ACGTCTTGTCACTGCCGAAGTGTGAACGGTTGTCATGGTATTCGTGTAGTAGCAGCTGGCGGAGCCTGGAGTCATCAGGTACACAAACAGCACCAGAATCTGCACGGGTCCAAAAAGGGTTGCTGAAAAGAAAGGATGGGTCATGAGGGACTTTCTGTTGGTACAGCTGATCACGGTTATAACCACGGCTGAAACGAGTGATGAAGTTGCGGTCCCATGTCACCACGCCCATAACATTCAGCTCCTCTGCTGCTGGCCGTGAGAGAACATCTGCCGGGTTGAACCGCCCTGGTTTGTACACAATCTGCAGGTTGGGGACGTACTGCTCCAGAAACTGAACCCACCGCGCCTGCCGTGGAGTGATCTGTGACTGTGTTTTCAGGTACTCCAGTGTTCTGTGATCGGTGAAGACCGTGACAGGCTGCATCTCTACGTAACAGCGCCACTTCTTCAGTGCATGTACCACAGCTAGCGCCTCTCTCTCATGAATGGGGTATGCGCGCTCTGCAGCAGTCAGCTTCCTTGACTCAAATGCTATTGGCTGCAGCCCCGCTTCCTGCTCCTGACAGAGAATGGCTCCAAGGGCAACGTCAGATGCATCACACCAAATGAAGTACGGGAGCTCTGGATTCGGTACTGCTAGGGCAGGGGGTGAAGTAAGGCAAGTCTTTAGCTGCTCAAAAGCTTGCTGCTGCAAAGGTCCCCAAGAAAATGATGAATCCTTCCGCAAGAGATCGGTCAGAGGTGCTGCCACTGCTGCAAAGCCCTTCACAAACCGCCGGTAGTAGTTAGCTTACCCCAAAAATGCCTGCATTTCTTTCACTGTACTAGGCTGCTTCCACTGCTTCAGCACTGCTACCTTGGTATTGTCCACCTCCAGCTTCCCATGAGAAATGACATGACCCAGAAATGACAGCTTGGTTTTGGCAAACTCACACTTGAACGCTTGGCATACAATCTGTGCTCACTCAACCGTGCAAGGACCAGCTCAAGGTGCTTTAAGTGTTCCTCACGAGTGCGACTGTATACCAGCAAGTCATCAATGAAAACCACCAGAAGCTTGTCAATGAAATCACTGAAAATGCTCTGCATCATGCCTTGGAAAGTGGCTGGAGCGTTGGTGAGACCAAATGGCAAGACCCGAAAAGCTGTTTTTGGGATGTCCTCACTTTGAATCCGCACCTGATGATACCCCGAACGCAGATCCAGCTTCGAGAAGTACCGTGCCTCACCAACTTGCTCGAACAGCTCATCTATCCGTGGCAGTGGGTAGCGGTTCTTGACTGTTATCTTGTTGAGCCCGCGGTAATCTATACACATCCGCAGAGAACCGTCCTTCTTCCGCACGAACAGCACCGGGGAAGCGTATGGAGAAGAACTAGGCTGAATGAACTCCTTAGCTAGCAGGTCCTCTAACTGCTTCTTCAGCTCCTTCAGCTCCACTGCACTCATCTTGTAAGTAGGTCTAACAGGTGGGGTAGATCCTGGAATCAGCTCTATCCTATGATCAGCAGCTCGCTTAGGAGGAAGTCCAGCTGGTAAGTCCTCGGGAAACACCCCTGAAAATTTTTCTAGCAGCTTCTCCACACCCCGTGTCAGCTCCTCATCCTCATGTGATGCTAAAACCGTTGGTACCGCTGCCTCAGATGATGTGGGCTGAACCTCTGTGATAAGACCTAGAAAAACTGCTTCCTCCCCCCGAATGGCCTTACCAAACTGCTTCGCAGAAATCAGCTGCAAGGTCAACTCCTCCTGCTGCTGTACCACTGGTTGGCGAACAAACCTTCCCCCAAACAGCACCTTTACCTCCCTGGTTTTCCAATCCACCTGTGGGTTTACTGCTGCCAACCAGTTCCTGCCCAAGATTATGTCATGACCGTCAAGCCAGATTTGTTGAAAAGGAATTTTCCCATGAAACTCCCCTATGTTGCAGCTGACCGGGTACAACTCAGGTCCACAGCTTCGCACTACACCATCCGCCATGCGCACCGTACTCTCCGCTGTACTGCTCTGCACAGGTAACTTCAGCTCATGCATCAACCGCAAAGAGATGAAATTGGATGAAGCACCACTATCCAGCAACATCTTTACCTCCTTACCACGAATCTGCCCCCGAAGAACTATGGCTCCTTCCGACTCCTGCTGCAGCGGCGTTGAGGATGGAGTCAGCAAGGTGGGGCACTCCTCACCACCAGTAACTCGCCCCGAAGCTACTGGTGAAGCTTGTTTTCCGGCTGCCTGGGCTTGGTAGGGCAGTTGAGAGCTTTGTGACCGCGCTTCCCACACTTGAAGCAATTTCCAGCAAAGCCCTTCCGCTTCTCCTTGTTCCTGTCGATCGTATCCAGTTCCATCGGCGTTGGTCCTGCTCCACCACGCTGCTCCCCCTGGATAGGCTGGAACATGTTCGGACTGAACCGCATCCCACGGTTGAAACGGTTGTGACGGCTGCCGAAGTGGATCTCATCATAGCGCTCAGCGACACGTGCCATCTCCTCCAGCGTACTGCAGCCCTGCACTTCCACTTCCATCCTAACGTCGTCCTTCAAGCCACGCTTGAACTTGTCCAGCGCCTCAGCCGTTGAAAGGTCTGAGATCTCGGTGGAGATGTCACGAAAATCAGCGATGTAATCTGCTACCGAAGTACGCTGCCGCAGATAGAGCTTCCTTGAATTGCTGCCAGGTTTGGATAGCGGGTCGCACCGACTGCCACCATGCCACCGCAGAGCCTCTGAGTAGGGTTCCGGCGAACGGCGCCCACTCATCACCAGCCACATGGCTCAAGCGTAGATATTCTTCCACTAGAAAGAGCCATCGTCGAACCACCGGTCGTCCTTTCCCTGGAACAAACGTGTCCGGCAGCGACGCTCTCACATGGGAAGTGGATCCCACTACGCTTCCCGGAGCTACAGCTATTCCCTGCTGTGCAGCTGCTTTCTGCAGGGCAGCCTGCACTTCCTTAGCCACTAGCTCTTGAACCGCGGCATCACGCTCTGATTTGGCCATGGCGCAAAATTAACCCGGCAGCAACTCAAACGAAAAACGCAGGCTCGGATACCAAGTGGAACAAGCTAGACGGCTTCTAGGCTTGTTCTAATGTTTCTGGCTGAGAATCCTTCCCAAGGAATTTCCTTAGAAGCAAAGAGAACAAACAGAAAAGAAAACAAGGAACAACTACTCTAACTCCTACGAATGCATTTTTATATGTACAGTATTACATTTCAGAAATGCGGCTCGGAATGTCGATTCGGGTGGCCAGCCCCGACATCGAGTCGCATCACCCTTTTACACATTTGTAACTCACTGCTTGCACACACGTGTCCCATTTCTAACCTTCCGATACTGTACCCTCGCCACCTGTCCCACGCGGAAGTCTACCCAAGTCATTCAAGGCACGAAACCTCAATTTCGCCCTTCTCATGTGAGTTCCCCACGTCCTGCACACTTCCGCACCTGCGCTGCCCACATTCGCAGCTGCACGCTGCTGCTGCATGCCCTCGCCACCTGCGCGCTTCGTGTTAGCTCCCGCGCAGGTGCCACGTGTTACACACGCGCGTGCCAGCGGGCATACTCTCCGCACCTCCTCTTCCCCCCCCACCCCCTCCCCCGCCCATGAGCGCACCACGCGCGTGCCAGCGGGAATAATATCGCCTAGCGAGTGCGACGGCTCGATCAACGGCGTCTCAATATCTCCCGCGAATGGCGCCGCATTTGGCGCCGAGAAATTCGGCCCTGGCGCCGCCGCCGCTGCCGCCGCCGCCGCATGCGGAGGAGCGAGCGCTATGGAGAAAGGGGCGGGCAACCGCCTTCGTATGACTTGCGGGTTCCGCCATTGCTACTCGGGGGGGATGTGCGGCGATGGTGCCGCGGTATGGGGAACGCGAGGGTAGCTTGGTCAGGGGGATAGACGAGATGGAGGGAGCAGGGCTGTGGGTGAACTGAGAGGATAACTGCAAAGCACGAGAATCTATGGAAATTGTGGAAATTTTATGAAGTAAATGACGTGAGATAACTGGGGAGAAACTGAGTTGTTGGGGGAAAGGGGGTTCGGTGTGGGGGAAGACAAGCGGGATGGGTAAAAGGGCTAACGACCTTATTGACTTACGGTAGGTGGCATGCGATGTACGCGATATTGACAGTGGGACTGCGGCTCCGTACTCTTCAAGATACACTGACTGGTGTGAATAATAAAAATGCAAAAAAACATATCAATTTGCACATAATGAGAACTACTTATTATTTAAGGCGCCCGGAAGCTGTCGGCCCAGCTATAAAGAGCGCCACACAGACATGAAAGGACTGGCACCATACTAGCAGCAGATTTTCCAGGAAAGACGCCCAGCAACGCATTTATGGGTGGCAGCTGCAGTCACATGCATGTCGGAAGATCGAAGCTGCTCTGCAATATTATGAAAACATTCCTGGACTGGACTGGACCCGGCCGGCATACTCTCTTTTATAATTTACAATACAAACAGGTGTTGGAAGAACGGAGACGCAATGCGGCATTTGTACACATAGTAGGTGAGGATGCGTCGATGCAGGGAGGGAGACGCATGATATGTCTAATCACGGTAGCTGCAGTGAGTTGCATGACAGGACGGGCATGAAACGGCCGAGTCCGTTTAGGGCATGATGGTGCTGCCTGCAGTGTGGGCACGAGAGTATGGGCATGATACGGATTTTTTTTTTGGGAAACAGAGCTCCACACACCAGACACAAGGAGGGCAAGAGCAGATGGACAGGCAAGCAGCAGTGCAGGCAGAGATGAATGCTGGCAGAGGCAGAGGCAGAGGCAGAGGCAGAGGCAGAGGCAGAGGCACAGGTATAGAAAGTGCAAAGCGGACCTGATAGAAAGCCTCGAGGAAGCAGACGGGAGATAAAATCTCGCCGACTCGCCAGCCAGGCCGAGCAGAAACGAGGTCACCTCGTGCTGCAGCCACATGCTCCCTAAACCCTGGACGCCTTTTGATTCGGCTCAAAAGTCAAAGCAACCTGCTCACCTGGTTGCAAGTCTTGTGCCGGCATAAATAAAGGCGATAACATCAAACGGACTCCGCGGCCAGGGTGAGCAGGTACGAGGAGACCTCGTGTTGCAGCCACACGTTCTCCTCTCTGGACAGATGGCCACCAAAGTCAAGCTGCTTGCCGTCTGCTGCTGTGACCCGACAGAAGTACGTCGTGCTGAAGCGCCTCTCCTGAGGAAGTGAGAGGGAAGGGAAGAGAAGGGAAGATGTGGGGTGGATGCTTGGTGGTGAGCACAGCACTCATCTCTGAATAGATGGGCAGCGAGGTCAAGCTGCTTGCCGTCTGCTGCTGTGACTCTGCAGAAGTAGGTCGTGCTGAAGCGCCTCTCCTGAAGTAGGGGGGAGGAGAAGAGAGGGAGGGGTGTGGGGTGGGGGGGGAAGCCTGGTTAGCTCATCCAATCTAACGCCCTCATGCCATGCCGCAACGGGGGGAAACGATCACATTGCCTTCCTGCTGTAGCCACACGCACTCCTCTTGAGACAGACGGCCGCCGAAGTCAAGCTGCTTACCGCCAGCAGCAGATTCCCGAAAGAAATACGCCTTGCAGAGCCTCCTCTCCTGAAATGGGGGAATGGGGAGGGAGGGGTGCAGGGTTGGGGGAGGAGACAGGTGGTGAAACCCAATCTAGCGCCTTCGCTCCAGGTCATCCCGTATGAAACGAGGGCTCTTCCTTCCCTGCTGCAGCCGCGCACACTCCTCTCTGGACAGATAGGCGCCGAAGTCAAGCTGCTTACGTCTGCTGCACATATCCAACAGAGGCACATGCTGCTCTACCGCCACTCCTAAAAGAAGGGGACGGGAAGGAAGGTGGTCGTGGAGCTGAGCTGAGGAACTCGCCTTTTCACCGAGGGAGCTGTGGGAGCACGAATGATGGGTGCAGTGCGGTGCGGATGGCGGTGTGGATTGCCCACCTGAATACGCCTCAGCATCCCCCAGAACCCCTTACAACTTTCCCCACTCATCCCACCTCTCCCAGGGCTAACAGTTTGCTGACGGGCGTTTGCCAGTTTACAGAGAGAAACACGGACAACAGATGCGGTGGGGATGGCGGTGTCGATGATCCAATGGAACACCTCTCAGCACCGTTGAGCACCCCTCAGCACCCCTCAGAAACCCCCAACACCCCTCTCAAGTCTCACATGCATTTACCAGTTTGCAGAGGGAGACGCGAATTATGGATGCGGTGGGGATGGTGTCGTCGATGATCCAATCTACGAGCTGCCACGTGTGCAGCAGCTGTGAGCCGTCGATTCGCATCGTGCGCACCGTGAATGCTGCACACACGCTCAGCACGGCCATGCTGACGTTGGCGCAATGGGGGAGGCAGAGAAAGGAGTGGGAGGAGCAGGGATGGAATGGTGAAGCGACTGAGAGGAGATGGGGATTGGCTCAAGTGATTATCGTGCGCACCGTGATCGCTGCACACACGGCCAGCACTGCCATGCTGACGTGGATGGGATGGGAGGGAGAGGTGGGGAGGCGAACTTTGAGGCATCAGATAGGCACGTGAGCGGGGCCAGAAATTGGAAAAGGAAATGAGCATTCGTGGTACAGGCGAGTTCGCATTGAGCATATGCATTGACCGCCACCACGAGTGCTGCACACACGCTCAGCACGGCCAGGCTGACCCTGGCGGAATGGAAGAGGGATGTGTAGAAGAGAGGGGTTCGGAAGGGTGGAGAGGTTGGGGGGAAAGGGTATGTTGGCACAGAGTATTGTATGTTTGCATCGCGCACACACAAAGGCTCACAGCATGGGCATATGCAGAGCATATGCTCAGCACTGCCCCTCCCCATCCTTCCAGACCCCTCCCGGGGTTTACAGCATGGGGAGACGAGATCAGAGGAAACACGCATGAAGGGTGGGAGGAATGCCCGAGGTATATGTGCCTATATTACTCGCCACAACGCGCAGAGAGCAGAGAAAACAGGCGTGAGGGGCGGAAGGAGTGTCGGCTCGCCCGCAGGGTAGCTATAATCAAGCATCAGCGGCAGCAGCAGCGGTAGCAGTGCCAAGAGAGAACCCCTTACCACCCCTTACCACCCCTTACCCCCCCTTACCCCCCCTTACCCCCCCTTAGCACCCCTTACCACCCCTCACCACCCCTCCCACAGCTCACTCACATTGCGCAGAGGGCGGAGAGAACAGGCGTGAGGGGCGGAAGGGGTGTTGGTTCCCCAGTGGGCGAATCAGCATCGAGCATTAGAGGCAGCAGCAGCGGCATCAGCCCGAGGAAAGCAAAAAACTGCACAGCGATGCGATGAGAGGCGGGAGATGGGAGGTGTGGGACAGACAGGAGAAAGGAGACAGGAGAAAGGCGTTGGTGGCAGAGGCATGAGAGTGAAAAGCTGTGCATGGAGGGGTAGGAGAAAGGTGCTGGTCGGTCGGTGCAAGGTGGGCTGTAGTGCGTTGATGCTTGTGGTACGGACAGCAGCACCGTGAGAGCCGAAGAAAAGCCTTTGAGTGGACTCAAAAGTCTGAGCTGTTGGGAATCGCATCGATAAGCAGCGAAAAGCTTTAGAGTCTTCTCTAGGCACATAGTGATCTTACCCATCTCACCCCTGTCGCACCCATCTCACCCATGGCCGTACCATGCAGCCGAGCGCCGCTTTGGCCGGGTGGAGGGGCGGCATGCGGATGAAGAGACCCGAGCTGGTCCTCTCCAGTAGCTGGGGGGGGGGGGAAGGGGGGAAGGGAATGGGCGCAAGGGGGAGAGGGAGATTAGCCCAATGTACAGGGGAAAGGAGGGGAGATTAGCCCACTGGACGGGTGGCAGGCGGATGAAGAGTGGAGCTGGACCTCTCCAGTATCTGGAAGGGGGAGGGGGGTGAGATTGGCGCAAAGGGAAAGGGGGATTATTTCACTGGGAAGTGGGGGACTATGAAGGGGGGATAGCCCACTGGAGGGGTGGGATGCTGTTGCGTTATTAACACTTAGCTGGCAACTAAGTGTGAGTTTCATTCTCATATTCCAGGGAAGCCTGAGATACAAGGAGAAGGGCGGGATACGGTCCAGGAGGAAGAAGATAGTCAGCTATTCAAAGGAAAGTAAGGATCGAGTGATTCACAACAATGCCGATGAAGAGCACAATACTAGTCCTCTCCAGTAGCTGGAAGGGAGGGGGGGGGGGGGAGAGGAGGACAGAGGAGAGGGGATTGGGCGCAAGACGGAAATGGGGATTAGCCCAGTGGAGGGGGGAGAGGAGAAGGGGGAAGAGGAGCAGGGGGGATTGGCGCACTGGGGGGGCGGCAGGCGGATGAAGAGATAGGAGGTGATCCACGTCAGCAGTTGGGGGAAGTGGGCAAGGGGGAATTGCAGAGCGGCGGCCTTACTCGGGTTCCAATCTCTACCAGCGCAGGCCTTACAAGTGATTGACTTTCGATCGAGCCAGCCTGGCTTATTAGGGATTGAGATTGGAACCCGAGTTGGTGGAATGCATTCAAGGACGGCATTCCAACAACAACAAGACCCTTGGCCAGCCCCTCCCCTCCTCTCTACATTGCCCGCTTCCCCCAACCCTTCCCTCTTGGGTCCCCTTCCCCCCAACCCCTCTAATAAGCGCACCACGCGCGTGCCAGCGGGCATACTATCGCTCAGCGAGTGCGACGGCTCGATCAACGGCGCCTCCATCTCCCCCGCGACTGGCGCCGCAACTGACGCCGCGACTGGCGCCGCCTTTGGCGCTGAGGAATTCGGCCCTGGCGCCGCCGCCGCCGTATGCGGAGGAACGAGCGCTATGGAGAAAGGGTCGGCGACTGCCTTCGTATGACCTGCGGCTTCCGCCATTGCTACTCGGGGGGGATGCGCGTAGTGCGGTATGGGGAACGCGAGGGTAGCTTATTCGTGGGGGTAGACGAAATGGAGGGAGCAGGGCTATGATGAACTGATAACTGATAAGCACGAGCGACTATGGAGATTTTAGGAAAATGTTACAAGTACAAGACTTCAAAGGAGCTAGGTAATAAATAATAGATAGATGAAGATGGGGACGTGGAAGGTGGAGAAACGGAAGTTGTTGGGGGAAAGGGGGGTTGGTGGGGGGGAAGATTAGCGGGATGTGCAAAGTAGACAACCTTGACGGTGTTGACTTTCGGGAAATGTCACGCGCTGTACGCGATATTGACAGTGTGACTGCGGCCTTGTACTCTCCAGAGACAGTTACTGGTATCATTAATTAAACATGCAATTAAATATTTTACTCTGCATATAAAGAGAATTCCTTATCAAAGAGGGTACCCAGATGCTGTCGGCACAGCCACAAAGAGCGTCATGCAGACATGAAGTGACTGGAACCATACTAGCATCAGATTCTCCAGGAAAGATGCCCAGCAAGGCATACTCCTGATGAGCTATCTATCTTCCACTATCGCAACCGGTCGAAACCTATAATGTTTAGAAAAAAAAATAAAAAGTATGCCATCACTACAAGAGATGCTTCCGCTCTGGCCCTCCCTGGTTCTCTGTAACAGCATGGAATAGTGTTTGCAGCAAGACGGCGCATGCATTGTGCTGCGATCAGAAATTGATCGTAGCCCAGGATCTACCCAGGAAGGTTCGCACGCAGTGAGATAGTTGGTGGGCCCTTGATCTCAATAGCAGAGTGAATGTAAATGCTTGAGATGATAAAAACATGCAAACAAGGTCATATAAATAAGAGTACAAGGGAATGCGAACAGACCTATCTAGCCATGTACTCTAAGGGGTACATTCCCTTATTCAAATTCACTCCCAACCGTGCGGCGCGTACAGTTTCGTAACTGTTCCCGCCAAAACCATCCTGCCTGCAGCTGCCCGATGCCGTCTGCTTCCGACGGTCCAGATGCGTTCCAACTGTTCGTCGCATCGAGTCAATTCCAACCGTCTAACGGTTCGCGTTCATTCTCGTTACTGCGTGCTTCTCTTTGCTGCGGTGAGGAGTGCACAGTAATATCAAATATTACTATTCGTAACACCCCCCTTCACTCCTGACCGTAGCTCGACTTGACCTGCTTGACCACGCCGCTGAGTTCGGAGCAGTGCTGATACTGCTGGCGTGGCAGTCGCTTCGTGAGGAAGTCCGCTGCCATGTCACCCGTCGGGCAGTAGGTCAAGTTGACCTTGCCCTTGTCCACCTCGTCCTTCACAAAGAAGTACCGCAGCGCAATGTGCTTGGTGCGGTTGACGAAACCAGGTTTGTTCGCGATACGAATCGCGCTCTGGTTGTCGCAGTGAAGGCGGAAGCTCGGCGAAGTCGGAATTTTCGCCTCTCGCAGGAGTTCCTGCAGATAGAGGCCTTCGCGAACTGCTGCGGTTGCTGCGATAAACTTTGCTTCGGCGGATGACAGGGCAACCAATTCCTGCTTCTGTGAATTCCAGGAGATTGGTCCCGATGGCTCGAGTCGGAACAGGAAGCCGGTCCTGGACCGTCGATTGTCGGGGTCTGCTGCGTGATCGGCGTCCACGTAGCCGATGAGGTTGAAGGATGGAGTTGGTGCAGTTGAGTAGCACAGCCCAATCTTGGGCGTTGAAACGAAGAATTGAAGGGCGCGCTGCAGGTCTAGGTGATTCTCGGCCGTTGGTTTGCGTGAGTACTGCGCGAGCTGACTCGCAATGTAGGAGAGATCTGGCCTGCAGGTGACAGAGGCGAAGAGGAGGCATCCCAGCTGCTGCTGGTAAGTCTGAATCCCAGCAGGGGATAGGGCTTTGTTGTCAGGTTTGTGGTTCGGTCCGGGGGTTCGGTAGGGAGTTGAGAGAGGCGCAGGTGAAATGTTGAATCGCTTCCCTAACTCCTCTGCGTACTTGGCCGCTGAGAGGTGAATGGCCTCAGGTGCGTAGGAGATGTTGAGGCCCAGGAACTGCTTCACCTCGTAGTTGCACGTGATGTCGACGCGCCCCGCCAAGGCCTTCTCGAACTGCTCCAGAAGCTCATTGTTTGAGCCTGTGTAAAGCAGGTCGTCGACGTACACGGTGAGGAGAATGTATTCCCCGCGGAAGTCGCGGCGGTACATCCCTGGATCATGCGGCATCTGCTTGAACCCGATTTCAAGCAGGATGTTGTGCAGGTACTGCTGCCACAGCCTCGGAGCCTGCTTGATGCCGTAGAGAGACTTGCGCAGCTGACACACACGCGAATCCCCTTCGCCGTAGGTGTGTGGCTGCTCCACGTAGATCACGGCGTCCACTAACGCGTACAGGAACGCGTTCTTCACGTCGATTTGACGGAGTGGCAGGTGCCTTGCGGCTGCGATGGCGAGCAGGATGCGGACGGAGGTGTGGCGGCTGACTGGGGCAAATGTCTGGTCGAAGTCGATCCCATGCCTCTGGTCATAGCCGCGAACCACCCAGCGCGCCTTGAAGCGCTCGATCGTTCCATCCGCCGCGGTCTTCACGCGGAAGACCCACTTCCCCGAGAGAATTCTTGCGCCTTTGATTGCTGCGCGGTCGACGAGCACCCAGGTGTCGCGTGATTCCAGTGCCTTGATTTCCGCGTCCATCGCTTCGCGCCACTCCTTGCTGTGTGGTCCAGAGAGGGCCTCGCGCGGATTTCGGGGCTCGATGACGCGTGGCGCTTTCGAGGTTGCAGCGTGAAGTCCGAGCAGCTGCAGTCCCGAGACGGTGCTGTCGTGGCGATGTTGCGGGACGACTTCCTGCACATCGTCGTCGTCGCTTTCAGGGTCAGGTGCTGGTGGTGCTGCGCCTCCGCCGCTTCCGCCTGTTCCGCTTCCACTTGCTCCGCCGATTCCTCCTCCAGAGGAGTCGTCGTCGTCGTCGTCGTCGTCGTCGCTGCTGCGCCGATCCTCCCATGCGAATTCTCCCCTTGTATCCTGCTCCAGGATTGCTGCAGCGGCTTCGTCTTCAGGCGTTGCGTAGCTGTGGCCATCGTTGGTATAGACGCGATTCGCGTTCGCTTGCTCGTCGCGGCGGAATTGGTCGAGGAAGAGACGTTCGTAGAATATGACGTCGCGAGCGTTGGCAGTCTTCTGACTGAGGAGGTCCAGCACGATCCACGCCTTGTGTTCGTGGCTGATGCCGAGGTGAATTCCCCAGCGCGCGCGGCTGGCGAATTTGCCAATAGTTGACGTTGGCGGGCGGTACTGCACCATGCATCCCCATACGCGCAGCATCGATGTGTCCCCCTTAGTCCCGGTCCACTTGACGTGCGGGGACAGATTGCCGGTGATGGCGGTGGTCGAAAGCAGGTTGTGCACCCGCACGGCGTGGTGCATAGCGTAGGTCCAGTAGATCGGCGGCAGTTTCGACTGCTTCATCAGCGCGCGCACCTTCGTCATTAGTGTGCGGTTCGTCCGCTCAGCTACGCCCTGCTGTTGGTGTGCGTAGGGGAGAGAGATGTGGTGCTCGATCCCCTTCTGTGCCAGGAAGGTCTGCATCTGGTTGCTCCTGAACTCTGCCGCGCCGTCGGATTGCCAAATCTTAAGCTTCTTCCCAGATTGCCGCTCCGCGTGCGGCAGCCAGAGGCGAAATACCTCGTAGGCTCTGTCTCGCGACTCCACATTCACGACCCACACATAGCGCGTTCCAGCGTCAATGAAGGTGAGCGTGTATAGCTCATCCTCGACTCCGCAATGCCCCACGTTCAGGAAATCGCTGTACACCTTGTGCAGCTTGGGGTAGCGGTTTGTTCCAGGTTCGAGCAGCGGGAACGGTTGGTGGCTCAGCGCAGCTTCGGGGCAGACGGTGCAAATGTTAGAATATCTCCTCTCTTGTAACCTGCATATATGCTATAGGATAGGCTAGAGATAAGCACCCAAACTTAGTTTGGGTGTACAAGCAGGGGTTACCCAATTTGTAGGTTGGAAACCCAACCTTGGTCCAATTATTGGACCCCAAGGGTTGGGATGGGTAGAATTATTGGTCCCCTCCAATAATGTTGGCCCAACTCCAACTTGGCCAACATTATTGGACCCCACCAATAATCTCCCAACCCAACTCCTTGGTTGGGGTCCAATAATGTTCACCTAGGCTAGTTTCCAACTCATCTCCTATGTAAACCCCCCATCCTTTCAATCAATCCATCAACTTCTCTTCTAACTTTTCTTCTCACATGGTATAGAGCTCTTAAAAATCCTAGGCCTACGCTCCTAGTTTTTTTTTTTTTTCAAAGGCCGCCGCAACCCCCGGCCTCCTTTCTCATTTCTCCGCGGCTATCTCGCCACCCTCCCCCTCTCCTCAAGCACTCCCTTCCTCGCAGCCCCACGGCCTCCCACGCCATCACGGCTCGCGGCCCCACCGCCGCTTCCGCGCTCGCCTTGTCGCGGTCCCGCCGACCGCCACCGCCCGCCCCATCCCGCGGCCTCGACGCCGCCTCCGCGCCAACGCCACTACGGCCGCCGTCGCCGCCGCCGCTCCCTTCCGCGGCCTCGACGCCGCCTCCGCGCCTGCACTGCCGCGGCTTCGCCAGCCGCCGCCGCTCGCGCCGCTCCCTCCCGCGACCCCGTCGCCGCTTCCGCGCCAGCACTCCCGCGGCTTCGCCAGCCGCCGCCGCTCGCGCCGCTCCCTCCCGCGACCCCGTCGCCGCTTCCGCGCCGGCACTACCGCGGCTTCGCCAGCCACCGCCGCTCGCGCCGCTCCCTCCCGCGGCCTTGTCGCCGCTTCCGCGCCTGCACTGCCGCGGCCTCGCCAGCGCCGCAGCTCGCGCCGCTCCCTCTCGCGGCCTCGTCGCCGCCTCCGCGCCTGCACTGCCGCGGCTTCGCCAGCCGCCGCCGCTCGCGCCGCTCCCTCCCGCGACCCCGTCGCCGCTTCCGCGCCGGCACTGCCGCGGCTTCGCCAACCGCCGCCGCCCGCGCCTCTCCGCGGCCTCGTCGCCGCCTCCGCGCCAGCCGCCGCGGCCTCGCCAGCCGCCGCCCGCGCCTCTCCGCGGCCTCGTCGCCGCCTCCGCGCCAGCCGCCACGGCCTCGCCAGCCGCCGCCCGCGCCTCTCCGCGGCCTCGTCGCCGCCTCCGCGCCAGCCGCCGCGGCCTCGCCAGCCGCCGCCCGCGCCTTCCCCTCCAGCGGCCTCGACGCCGCCTCCCCGCCAGCACCGCCGCGGCCCCGCCAGCCGCCGCCGTCCGCGCCCCTCCGCGGCTTCAACGCCGCCTCCGCGCCAACCGCCGCGGCCTCGCCAGCCGCTGCTGCCCGCGCCACTCCCCCCCCCCCCCGCGGCCTCGCCGCCGTTGCTCCTCCGTGATCACTGCGGGTCCACCTGCAGCCGTCCATCATGGCTACTCCTACACCCTCCCCCTCCCCACTTCCTCCCCCTATTGATACGTCCTCAATTGATAAGCTCCAGCTCGCCGCGGACAAGTCCGCAGTCAACTGGCACTCCTTCGTCGGCAGCATCCGACGCGTTCTCTCCGACGCATGGGTTCCCCCCTACCGTGTCCTTGACGTCATCCTCCGCCGCCCCCATGCCCTCCCCCCCACCGAACCTCCCCACCCCGGCGAGACTCCTCCTCTTCCTCCTACTCCTGGCGACCCTCCTCATGAACCCGATCTTCAGATCACCCCCGACCAAGCCACTGCGGACACTGATTTTATCCTACGCCGCCGTGAATACCTCATCCGCAAAGCCGAGTACGATGCTGCAGTTGAGGCCTATGATCAGGCGGTTGCTGGTCGCGACGCTCACCTCGAGGTCGTCGCCAAATACAAGGTCGACATGGCTGACTTCACCCCCAGACTCATCGCCTGGACAGCTGCTGACACCCGTGCCTGCACCGTTCTCCTTGGAGCTCTCCCTGACTCCCTCATGCGTCGCTTCCAGGCTCGGGAACTCCGTGCCTCGGTCATCTGGGCAGAACTCCATGCCATGTTTGAGCGCCGCGACATCAGCTCCGTCGGCATCCTCTTCCAAGAGTATTTTTCCATCACCCTCGCCACCTGTGACGGAGCAGTCGACTACGTCGGACGCATGCGCGAGGTAGCTGATCGCCTCGAAGCCCGCCAGGCCGGCCTCTCCGAACCTCTTCAAATCCACCGCCTCCTCTTTAACCTCACCCCAGACTACGAATCCCGCCTCCACGCCTTTACCGAAGCCAATCCCATGGCCGGTCTCGCCTCCGTTGAACAGTGGATTATCGACACCGAAGTTAAACTCCGTACACCCATCGTCAACCTCGCCTCCTCCCAACCCACCTCCTCCTCCCTCAACGCTACCCAGCCTCGCAAGCAGGGAAAGAACAACGGCAAAGGAGGAGGTGGGGGCAAGGGAGGTGGTGGTTCGGGAAGCAGCAACAACCGTGGTGGCACCACTGGGGATGAGCACGGCACCACCACTTCGGGTGGACCCACTGCAAGTCGCGGGAGTCGCCCTGGCACGCTTCCTCCCTGCACCTATGTCCGCCGCTATGGTCCTCGGGCTGGAACTCCCTGCGGACAGACCAACCATCCCCCTGGCACGTGCTTCAAGGCTCTCGACGATGCCTGGTACGCGCGGGGTAACGTTGGCACTCCTCCAAAGTGGGGCAACATCTCCCCACGCCCCTCCCCCACCGATATCCAAACCAATCCAGCCTACCTCCCAGCCCACCTCCGCCTCCTTGCTCCCCCCACACCCTTCCTCAACCTCCAGCAGCAGCACCTCCAGCAGCAGCAGCAGCAGCAGCAGCAGCAGCAGCAGTTACAGCAGCTGTTTCAGCCTCAGCCGCAGCAGCAGCAGCAGCAGCCACAGCCGCCGCAGCACCCATGGGGGTCAGGACCCCAGCCACAGTGGGGACCCAGCCCTCCTCCCTGGCCGCAGCAGCAGTTGAACTTTGGCACAGCAGCCATGGCCGCTCAAGCCTCACCTGCCCCCCTTTGGGGTGCCCCACCCCCCCCCAGTAGCACTGCCACCCCTCTCACTCACGAGAGCTTCCTTGGCAACATAGCTATTTCGCCCTCTCTTCCTTCCATGTACCCATCCAACATTAATGAAACCACTTTCCAGTACTCAGTGTCTTCCTCCTCCTCCTCACCCACTCTGGACTTTGTCCTTGACAGTGGGGCCACTGAGACCGCCCTCAAAGACGCTGGTACACTCACACCCCTCTCCCCTCCCACTCAAGTTCACGGTGCTGACAGCAGCTTCACCATCCCATGCACACACCTCTCCACTCTCCCCTGTTCACTCTTCCCCTCTGGCAAGGTAACTGGTCTCCACATCCCCACTCTCCGAAACAACCTCCTCTCCCACCGTGAAATCCAAGGTGCAGGTATCACTGCCGTCTATCCTGGTAATGCCACCTACTGTGACCTTTACCACACTGCCTCCGGCCGCTTCCTCCTCCGCATACCCCTCTGCCCTCGCACTCGCCTCTACACTCTCCGCACTCCGTGGCCATCCTCCTGCCATGTTACCACTCGTGCGGGTACCTCCACCAGCCCTCCCCATCTCCCTCCCTCTCCTCCCACTCCGTCTCCTCCCCACTCCTCCATCCCTTCCTCACTCATTCCAATCCCCTCCACCTCCGACCATCTCTCCCACCCCGCTGTTCTCCTACATCACCGACTCGGCCATCCGAATTTTGCCGCTCTCCGCACTGCCGTCACCTCACGACTTCTTCACAGCCTCCCTCCAACTCTTCCTCCCCTTCCCTCCTCCCCAGCCCCCCCATGCCCCTCCTGCATCCACGGCAAACTCAAACAATCTCCTCACCACAGCCACCCATCCTTCGCTCCTGCACCCATTGACCTTGTCCATATGGACCTCTGGGGGCCCTCTCCCACCCGCTCACGCCAAGGCCATCGCTACATGTTGGTTCTTGTTGACGATCACAGCCGCTACTCCTCCATTTTCCTCCTCCACACCAAAGACCAGGCGCCGACCATTATCATTAACTGGGCAGAGCAATGCCGCACCCACTTCAAACGTCCCATCGGCCGCCTCCACTCTGATGGGGGAGGCGAATTCCTCAACCGCACTCTCTCTCACTACTGCGCCACCCATTGCGTCCAACAGACCCACACTCTTCCCCACTCCCCACAGCAGAACGGCGTTGCAGAAAGCCGCATTCGCGAAATCACTAAGATCGCCCGCTGTCTCCTTGCTCACGCCTCCACCCCTCCCTCTCTCTGGGGCTATGCCCTCCTCCATGCTGCCCTCCTCCTCAACCTTCACTCCCATCCCCAACACACTGCCGCTACCCCCACGGAGCTCTGGTCAGGAACCAAACCTGACGCTGCCGGTCTCCGTGTCTGGGGTTGCAAGGCATATGTGCTTATTCCTCCACCCGACCGCACCCAAGGCAAGCTCGCTCCTCGCGCCCTCGAGTGTGTCTACCTCGGACACAACCGCGACTCGCCTGGTTACCTCTTCCTTCACCCTCCCTCTGGTCGCCTCATCCGCAGCATTGACGTTGTGTTCGATGAGACCACCCCGTACTACTCCTCCCCACCACCGGACCCCCTCCCTCCTCCCACACGTCCTCTCGCTTGGGCCGACACCGTCCTCCCTCCCCTCCTCCCTCCGGCACCTCTTCTCCCACCCCTCCCCACCCCGCTTCCGCCACCTTCATCCGCCGACG